TGATTATACCTGCTTCCTGTTCTCCTATCACTTCCTGTTCTCCTATCATATCCAATGATGTTATTCGTGAGTACATGAGACCAAGCAAATGTGGACAGGAGCCTCTTAAATAGCCAGAGTACACCATTTCTCCTTTAAGTTGTTCTCTCAGGGGTGTGTGTGTGTGTGTGTGTGTGTGTATGTGTGTGTGTGTGTAAGCATACACATGCATACATATGCATGTTCGAATTGTGTGTGGAGGGAGAGGTCCCCAATAATTCTCCATCTTAATTATTATTTTTTTTTAGCACTACAACTAAATATTTAGTTAGTTAGTTTTTCAAGACAGGATTTCTCTGTGTGGCCCTGGTTGTCCTGAAACTCACTCTATAGACCAGGTTGGCCTCGGACTCAGAGTCCTCCTGCCTCTGCCTCCCGTGTGCTAGGATTAAAGGCATGCACCACCACCACTCTGCAGTGATTTGAGTCTTACTTGGAATACATAATTAGCAATAAATTATCACAAGTTGGATAAATTTATAAGTTAATTGAACAATACAAAGCAGATACCTTGCAGTCTTTACTTCTTGTGGTACTGAAAACATAGATGCCTGGGGCTCTTAACCACTGAGCCATTGCTCAAGCTTCTCTACCTTATTTTGAGGCATAGTCTCTCATTAAACCTGAAGCTCATCAATTAGGTCAAATGGCTCCATGGATCTTCTTGTCTCTATGTCCCCAGTGCTGAGATTATATGCACCAGGCTTTTTCTTTTGTGCCACCAACCAGCTCCCAGATCATGAAATGGAGATTTATTATTAGCTTTGAATGCTCAGCCTTAGTTTAGCTCTTCTCTGGCTAGCCCTTGTAATTTAACCTGTTTCTCTTTATCTACATTTTGCCTCGGGGCTTTTTACCTTTTCTTACTTTCCTGTTGTCTCTATGTCTGGCTGGCTGATAACTGCCTGGCTTCTGGCTCCAGGCATGTCTCTCATTCTCTCCTCTTCTTCTCTCCTCCTTCTTTCTCTGGAGACTAGATCCCTCCTCCTATTTATTCTTTCTGCCCACCAGTCCTGCCTATCCTTTCTCTGCCTAGCTACTGGCCATTCAGTTCTTTATTAGACTAATCAGTTGCCTTAAGTAAGACAGATGCAGCACATCTTTACATAATTAAACAAATGCAGCATAAACAAAAATAACACACCTTTACACAGTTAAAGTGATATTCTGCAACATAAACAAATGTAACATCTTTGCCTAGTTAAAATATTCTACAACAATGACAGGACAGGCCACCACATCCCACTTCTTATGGGGGCCCATTCAGGTCCTCGTGCTTGTATGGCAACCACTTTACTAACTGGGCCATCTGCCCAGTCTTCCCTAGGGTATTTTGATCTCAGCTATACAAAAGTGACAAACTATCATTAGGGGTTACTGTGAAATACTGAGGGTAGAAGAGCAGCAGAGATAGCTGGATGAAAGGATGTGAGCAGGTCACTGCCAAGGACAAATGGAAAACAGGTGGTACACAACATGGCTGCAAACTTTTCTCAGTGCTGTCTGGTCCTGGAGTTACCTGCACAGTGATGGAGAGATGGAAAGGGCCTCTGGACCCAAAAAGGGGGTCACTGCCCTGAGGAGGTGATGACTCTTAGGATCTTAGCTCGAGGTCTTGAGGACAGGGGCTTTGAAGACTGTTTCCAACGTGGGCAGGGCCAAAGCCCTGAGAAGGAGCTGTGTGACATTGAGTAAGTGGCATCTCCTCTCTGGACCTTTTCCATCTGTTAATAACAGACCTGCCTTGACCTCTCATATTCCTTTTAGTTCAGACATTCTGGAGTTATGTCCTGTTGTGAGCAGTCATGTGCACTGAACCCCACTGTTAGGTACACACTACCTTGGATTATAGAGTCCCTAGGAATCTTTAGTAATATACCAAGGATTAGGAGGCAGTGAGATGGTTCAACTGGTAAAGACACTTGCCATCAAACCTATGACCCGAGTTCAATACCCAGGACTACATGGTGGCAAGAGAAAAACAACTTCTGCCAGTTGTCCTCTGACCTCCACGTTCATGGCGTGGCATGCAAGAACCTACATACGCATAAATATAAATACACAATAAACAAATAAATGAATACATATGTATAAAATGATAGTAAGCATGCAAGGAGGAGAATGCATTGTGCTAACAATTCTTATTGGCCTGGAGAAGGGCCTCACACTGAGTCTGGAACAGACTGGACACAGGAATATACCTTCACAATCTCTTCTATGCCCTTTGTGGTCCAGGCAGGTTTTACATCTTTCTCCATAATGCATTGTGCTATATGATGCCATGATGATGGTCATGGAAGGCCAACTTGTGCCCCTTGTGTTCTGCACAGTCCTGATTATAGCTACGAAGTTCACCTTCTACCCTAGAAACTCAGCTTGAGCCCTCCCCGGCCCCAGGGCCCGCAGCCATCACCAATGGACAAGAGCTAGTTGTAAGGAAGGGCTGGAGTTCAGTCTCCTCCCAGCCACATTCCAGACACCCCTCAAAGACTCCCTGGAAGTGAGTCTGACCATAGCTCAGTTTGCTGGAGCTGGAGGGTGGAGGTCTTGAACAGAGCTGTCCCCTCTACAGCTCCATTGCTCTGATTTCTTTGGCTTCTGAGCTGAGGAGGAAGTCACACCTCCATGGCCTGCCCTGGAGGGTTTGAAGTTCCTGGGCCAGGCCCACAGCTTGGGCAATATCTGTGTCTTCCTGTGATGCAACCCTAAGATGTTCAGTGCTGGGGTGTGTATCAGGGGAAGGCAGGGGGAGAGTTGGGGAGGTGTTCTGCTCTTTCCTGGAGGCCCCCCTCACCTCTGCAGAGGGTGGCTGGGGTGAAAAAAGGATCTAGTGTCTACCTCATCTCTGTTGTTTTGGTTGTCCTATGGCAAAAGAGAACATATGTACTACTACCAAGAAGAACCCAGACTGTCTTACCGTATGGGGTCCCAAGGTCAAGCTTACATCAGACTTGTGTCTTGGCAGCTTCTGGGGTTCCTACACCAGGTCTTTTGCTATCTTCAGGTGCACTGAGTCTGCTTAAGGTCACCTAATAATACCAGGACACACTATCCTTCCTCTGAGGTAGCCTTCCTTACCCAGTAGCGGAAGTGGAAGTGCCCATAGAGCCTGAGGCAGGCCATCCATAGCACCCACAATTCATGGCTACCAGTCTGTCCCACCACCCTGATCCCTGGCACTGTACTTGGTCTGTCCTCTGTCCTTCAGCCAGAGACCACTAGGAGTTCAACATTCTCCTTGGCACTCACCACAGTCACCCCATGTTGGTCACGTCTACCACTATTCAGGCAGTGCTTACATTCAGGTCTGTTACTCAGGTAGTAGACAGTCTTTATGTCTGTCCCATCTAAGGGACTCAATCACAGTGAGAGGCTGGGCCTGGTTGGACAGGCTTACAGCCTCCGGTACTTGAAAGGCTGAGATCATAAGTTCCAGGTTATCCTGTGCAACTTAATTGAGAAGCTGAAAGAGATGGGGGTGGGGAGGGTAGTGATCCAGTTTAGTGACATGTCTGAGGTCCTGGATCCAATGTCCAGCACTGAAAATAGGGTGAACAAGAGGATCACTGGGGGTTGGGAAACCCCTTAGTTGGTAGAGTACTTGCCTAGAATGCATGAATCTGTGTGTCTGACCCTAAGCACTGGACAGGATGGTACATACCTGTAATCCCAGTGCTCAGGAGGTAGAAGAATTAGAATTAGATGTTCATAGGAAAGTCAAGGCTAATCTGAGCTCATGGGACCTTGTATACATGTTTTTTTTTTGTTTTTTGTTTTTTTTTTTTTTAAATCACTGGTGGGAGGCCGTGGTCCTCCAAACTTAGTCAGGAGAGGAGGACCCTGGTAATTGACTGGTTGTTATCTCAGATCTGGTGTTGTGGCCTAAGGAAGTGCTGACAGAAAGGGTGGGTGGGGGTGAGCCCTCCAAAGTCAGGCTGGGAAACAACAGAGATAAGCAAGCTCTAAGTGATGACAAGAACTTGGATGAGTAGAAGCCAGATGCCTATGAGGGTCAGGAGGGTAGCTAGGAGCAGGTCTGCAGAGGGGACATGGCAGTGCACTCCTGTAATCCCAGCACGCAGTAGGCTGAGGTAGGAGAATCTTAAGGGCTGCCTGAATTACATGGCAACACTAAAATACTAAAAACCATAAACAAGCCCTTACCCAAACAAAACAATACAAATCAAGCTAAAACAACCACCCACACATAAATTAAAATCAAACCTACAGATAACTAGGCACCAGTGGGCAAACAAAGGCCCCGGGGAAAGAGGCTGAGGGGATTCCATGGGGCACACCAACAGATGTGGCAGCATGTCCTGAGTTGGGAAGTTCTGGGCTTGTGCATTCCTTGCCTGTGTTTCAGGAGTGTTTTATGCAGGTAAGGGTGTACCAGGTGTCACAGCTACGGGCACACACAAGTGCAGAGGGGGCCAATCTCCCTCCCACTTGCTAAATTCGTTGTGGACATCTGATTTCACTTACTTATCCATCCACACACCCACCCATTCCTTCCTTCCTTCCTTCCTTCCTTAGGCAACAGGAGCTTAGCACTGGGCGTGCTGGAGCACGAAGAAGTAAAGTTCCTTTCTCCAGACTATGAGAGCTGTAAATGAGGCTGGGTTAGACTTGGATCCACTCCTTAGTATGCACGGCCATCCTAATCTCTGAAAAGCACCGAGAGAGACAGTAGAAAGGTCTTTACAGAGGGAAGTGGCTGGTTGGACTCTTAACCACGTCTATCTGCAAGACCGGCCCTTCCCGCGGGCCCTGGATTCGCAGGACCGCCCGCCGCCACTCGGGGGCGCTGATGGGAGAGGAGCTGGCTCGGTCGCCAGCTGCGCTGTGGGTTCCGCACGCACTCACTTGGGCAAGCAGTGTGTACAGCAGGCTCCCTGCGCTCCCGGAGCCGCGTTTGCTCTACGTGCACCCCACCTGCTCTTGCTCGGCTCGACGGCGACATGGGTGTCCCCACGGTCCCAGAGGCCAGCGGCCCGCGCTGGGGGACCCTGCTCCTCGCTCTTTTCCTGGCGGCATCCAGAGGTAAGGTCCCGCTGGCGGCGGGGCGCAGGGGAAGAGTTTCAGGCAGCACAGCTCGGTAGGGTGGAGGGACCCAGGCAGGATGGGAGTGCCTTGAATCCCCCCAGCCTGCGGTGATCTCCACCCTACCGCTGCTCTGAGGCTGCTGGGACAGCCCAGCAGGGTGCAGTGGTGGCTCCATCCTAGTCGAGCACATCTGTCGGTGCTAACAGCTGCCAAAACAACAGGCAAAGGTGTGTCTCGAGGGGACTGCCTGCACACTTCCCTGACCAGAGAGCCCGGAGCAGGGGCCTTGAAGAGCTTCTGCAAGGCTGGAAAGGGACATGAAGAGTCACTCTAGTCCTTTAGTGGTTGTTGACTGGCTTTTGACACCTGGGGCATCTCCCTGCCTTCCTGCTCCAGAGTATCAGAGGACTTGGGGGGGGGGGGTTGCTGTGACCCAGTATGCCATCCCCTTTGACACTCCTGGATGAGTTTTGATGGACACTCCCAGATCTGGGCAGCGTTTGTCACCTGCTCTATACTGATGTTGAGTGATCAGTGGGTTCTTGCCATTTAGTCAGATTGAAGCTGAGCAGCCAGTATGGAGTCTTGGGTAAGATACAGGACAACCCCTGAGCCCAGCTACCAGTCCATGTCTGGGCTTGGATAATTCCTCCGCACAGATACCCAAGCCCCACACAGAGAGGTGTCACTTCCAAAATCCAGACTCACAATTTGTACCTTGTCCCAACAGTAGTTCCCCAGAGCCTGGTCCTTGCTTGCCCAGAGCAGAATATCTTAAAGAAAAAGGGGATATTCTTATAGGTGGCCAAGGGCTAGACAAGGGTGTCCCCTGGAGATTGCTTGTCTGATCCTTCCCTGCTCAGAAAACCCAGGACGCAAGTTGCTTCTGCAAGGCTGGAGGGAGAAAGGGCCCGGGGACAGTGTCAGCCATGGAGGAATTCAGAAGTGTCAGTATGGAGGTGGTGGGCTCAGCAGAGGGAGCCAATGGACCAATCAGAAAAGAAAGAAGATTAACTGAAGGAGAGGAGAGAGAGACAGATAACTTCTTATCAGCACTGGGAGGCAGCCCTGGACCTTTGATAACGAAGAAGGCCTCCACACCCTATATACAGAACACCGAAACCCCTGGTCTGGATGCTCCCTACCACTCAAAGCGAGAGACTGAGGCAGGGGTGGAGTTGGTAGTACAGGTTGAGAATGTTACAGTCCTAGCACCAAGGTCAAGGCTCCTTGAAGGCTAAACTTCCAGGGGCAGGGAGCAGGAAGGCCAATACTGTATCTATCACATGCTACCATTCTCCCCTCAAGTGACTCCATGAAGCCCCTTTTCTTGTCCCTTCCCTACCCTCAGTTGACTGGGATGCTGTCTGTTCATCAGCCCCAATTTGGGAAACTAAGTCCTAGAGATTCGGAGTAGAGGGACACAGCTTGTGGACCACCCAACAGCAAAGAGGCCCTGAGGGGAGTTGGATATCCCTACCCTGCTGTGCCTCCAAACCCAGAAGATCACACAGCCATGGCTTTTGGCTACTCAAACTACTTGGTGAGCTGAAGGCTACCTCCCCATATTCAGCTCAGGAAGGCCATTAGGGGTCTGTCTGGCTTTCAGGAAAGGAACAAAGAAGCCCTTTAGCCTGGAGCTTCTCTGACCTCAGCACTGGCTATGACACAGGTTCCATGATCATTCATGTTTTTTTTTTTTTTTTCTTTCCTATAGCAGACATGGTGGTCAGGAGGTCTGGGGGCTGAGAACACTCACCAGTCAGCTGAAGTGCTGGGTTGCCTTGGACAGAATGGCATTTGGGGCAGGGTGAAATGGGGGCCTGGGGGGCTTCAAGCAGTCAGAGCTTAGGAGGCACTTGGGGCCATGGAACACACTCCTGTCCTAGCCTGTCATGGGCTGAGATGGGGTGGGGGTGGTTGCCCTGGGAGCCACGAGCCATCAGACCCTCGGGGGTGCAGAACCTCTTCACCACAGCATCTCTAAGCTTTGAGGAAGTTACTACCTTGCCTGTCCTCAGTCTGACCCAGGAGCCCCCATCGACAGGGAGGCACTGGTGTGACAGATGGGCAGCTGTCTTCCCTTTCATGGTAAACAAGAATGCAAGGCCCTGTTGAGTAAACTCAGTGCTGCAAGCCTCTGACTCGGTAGTGGTCAGCTCTTAGGAAATCCATAAGACCCGCCCAGTAGCCTGAGACTAAAGATGGCTATGCCACGGGATGCCCAGGGGCCAGAAACTCTAACCATACTGAGCTAGGTTTGCTGCAAGGCAGCACTTTCCACCTGTGGATCTAGGAAAAGGGTACCAAATGGAAGCTACAGGAGTCACCTTTGTATAGCATCTTAGGCCTAAGGAGAAGAAACAGAGGGTCCTCAGGGCCCATGTGTCCTGTTGGTGCTGACTGAGCCTTGAACTTGAGGTCCTACATTCAAAGGCAACTATTGCCCAGGGCCAATCTGGCCTTGCCAGAAATTAGCACTGGCTTCTGATGTCGATGGATTCTTTTGAAGGTCTGGCTGGCCTTCCTGATGTTTAAGTAAGGGGTCTGGAGTATAACTGCATGCCAGGGCTTCTTTCAGCTCTAGTTTAACTGTTATTGTAGTTCGACCTGTGTTTGAATCTTAGCTGGCCTTTTGTGAGCTGGGCAAGCTTCTTAGCATCTTTGGTCAAGTCTCCATCTATAATACAGGGCGGCGATCCATTCTCCCTTAGACACAGCTGTGTGGAGCTGATGGGTATAACTTCCCATGGTGCCTGGCCCTTGTGATGTCAGTAGTACGTCATCTCCATACTGGTGGCTTTCCATCGGAGCTTTCACTGCCTACAGAGCCCCAATGAATGTCCAGGACATAGGAAGCCATAGGAAATATCACTGGGAATGCATTTCCCAGACTCCTAATATCTGAAGGATGCCCAGGCTGGTTCTAGCTACCAGTCTGAAATAGCCATAAGGGTGGCTGGAGGTTCTCTTCCTAAGTCCCCGAGAGATGAGGCCTTAATAGCCAGACTGGCCTAGTGTGTCCCTATCTGTGGGTTCTCTCTCACATTCCATTTGCATATCAGCCTATTTACTGTTGACCATTTCTAGAGTGGAGCAAGGGACATTCAGTAATGAACTTGCAGTGTTTGGCTACTAACCAAGCCTTCCCATTGGCCTTTCTATGTAGGGACTCAGCTTCCAAGGAGATCCCAGGTCCAGTCCTGCCTCAGCTACTCCCTCACTATGGGGCCCCAAGCACACACTTCCCCCAACTGAGCAGTGAACAGGCTGAGTGACATAGTTGCAGCTGGCTGCTGGTCCCTGGGGAGGGTAATTCCCCTTGGTGCATTCTGGGTTCATTTGCTCATCACCTGTAGTATCTGCCGAACAATCTACCTACTTGTTTTTCCTCTAAATCTACACTTTTCTTTAAAGTAAAAAATTTAAAGGAAATTTTAAGACAGTATCACAAGTGGAAAGCTAGTATCATCGGCCATAAATAGAACATATAAAAGAGCACCACTGGCAAGCCAAATAAGGGAATTAAATGTTAGTTGGAAACTCAGGCTGGGCCGGAGTCAGCATGTAAAGCCTGCTGCTGTCTCTTTGTAGAAATTAATTAAGAAAAAAAAAAACCCAACATTTTGAAGATATAGTGGCATTAACTTTTTCTTTGATATAGGCAGGGCTAAGGGAATACTGAAATGGGAACAAATATCTCTCTTTATGAGTCAGTGTTATTTAATGTAAAATCAAAAGTAAAACTACTTGAGTTATTAATGCTGCTGGGCAAACTAAGCCCTCATTGGCTAGGTCAGCTGTCCATCTGTGGGGAGGAGGTGGAGCCAGTCTCTGGTTACCTCTGGTTTCTAGAGACAGCATCAGCTCTCCAGAGGCCTGGGTTTGAATTCTGTCCACAACTTATTCTCTGTGAGACTGTAGACAGGTTTCTTTTGTGTTTTGACTTCCTAACCCAAGCTCCTGTTTCACAGGCTTGGGAATTAATTAAGCAACAAGTCTGTGTCTGCCTGTTTAGAACAATCCTACCAAGTGAGCCCCTTGCATGGATGGAATCAGATCTTAGGAAGTCTCTCCCTGGTTGGAGTGGTCGTGGGGTTGAGTCCTCCTTACAGAGGCCTTGAGTCTGTGCTGGAATCCTCCAGAGGAGCCTCCCTGAGCTAGGGCCTTGGCCCACTGCCCAGACCCTCCCCAGGAGGCCCAGTGGCTAGGGCCTCTATCCCTGGATGCAGGCGGTTTTCCCAAGGTGCTGGAAGTGTGGCTTCCTCCCATAGAGCCCCCGCTTCCCCTTCCCAGCCTCCTTGGTCCATGTGAATGGACACTTCCTGCTGGGGCAGGGATCAATAAACACATCTAAGATACCCTTTGTCCTCACTAGCTAGAGAACCTTCTGAACAGACTTGCTGGCTTCAGCCCGCAGCCTTCACCCCGGGGCACTTCCTCTGGGTTTTGATTGGACCCTGCCTCTGTGTTCTTCTCTGTACCACACATCTTACTAATGATACAGTCCAGTCTTGCTTGCTTTTTAGGCTTTTTAGGCACCTGGAGAACATCCTTGGAAATGAGGTCTCTAAGCTGGGACCGGTTTCCATGCCTGGGAGGCGGGAGACCCCGGTCTCGGTCTCTCTCATCAAGTGTGAGGCTAGCAACTGCAGACAGTCAAATAATTGTTTACTTGGCAAGCTAGCAGCTGGATAGACCTCAGCTGTCTGGGTGGGGCCTTCCTGGCCTGACCAATCAAGCTCTGGACCCACCTCCAAAACCTCTGGGGTGTTGCCTTGGTGACTGGGGGTAAAGCCAGAGCCTGTCAGGGAAAAACACAATACTAAAGCTTGTCCACACCCACACACACCCATCCCCTGTACGCCCACAGAGCCTGATGTGTGGCGAGAGGTGACAGTCTCAAAAACAAGACTGGAGAGGATGCCAAGTAAGAGTTTCTTGAAAACTTTCCCGCAGACTGTGCCCTATCTGTAGCTGGGCACCACGGCTAGGAA